TTTTATAAAACTCTTGCAGGAATTCGGCAAGTACCCAATAGTTGGTAATGAAGTTATTCGTAGATAAAATATAACAGCTGGCACGAAGCTATGGCAGCTGGCACCTACCTTTAATTTTGCTAAGTGGTCATCATAACTACACCACGGTATACCGAAGACTGGATGCTGAGCCTGCTAGCTGCACGCCCACACATTCCATCGCACACGCCACCTGCAGGAGGCAATAGCAGGAATGTGTCCACGCAAGTCACAGACCTGAGGACAGTAGGCATAGTGTGCGTACTCTGTTCCAAGGTTGCTTTGATAGTGTATCATAGTTTAAGAGCTTACTTATATTCATTTCTCTGCATATGTACAACTACTGGAATGGCTAGCGGATATTATTTACGAGTTAGCCTTTACTTGTAAGCTCAATTTATTTTATTTTAACCCGCGCACCGACGCCAACTTCGCACCGACGGGGGGGGGGAGGCGGATGACCGCCCCCCCCCTGAGATCTCGAGAACGAAGCAAGATAGCGACAAGCGGTAAACGGCATCGGATACGCACGGTCAAGATCTACAATTTTTACTAAGGTCATTTTCAGGTCAGGTCAAAGATGACGTCACAGGGGTCGAAAAGTCAAAATGGCGGCGCTAGATATGGAGAGAGTTTTTCTCAAATAACTTTCGAATTAGTCAAGATAGGAACAAACTAAGGGCATCATCGTGATCCTCTCGTCAATCCGCATCGAATGATATATATGTTGACCTCGAAAGGTCAAGGTCAAAGGTTGACCTCAGGTCACGTGACCTCGAGGTCATCATGTATATCATTCGATGCGTCTTGACGAGCTGAACACAATGAGACCATCCACGCGTCTGTATCTTGTTCCTGTACGGCGTTATTAGCCAAAAACCTTTGGTGACCTTTGATGACGTCACATGACCTCACAGCTGCCCAACAGCAAAACAGACCTCAAGGTAGTGAAGGTTGATCGTATATGAAGTCATGTATGGTATATGGGGCCATTCCGACCCGTTTTAGTGGTAAAAACAGGGAGTTGATTTTTCCCCCATTGACTTATAATGGGGAGGTCGCGAAATTGACCTGACCTTAGGTCACCGATATCAAAATTCCGAGATATACAAATTGTAGCTACTAATGACCTAATAATATCCTGCGACTTTCAAAGGCCTCCGACATCTACTGTAGCTCTGGCACGGTGACAAAGTTGCAAAAAAGTGACTTGAGGTTGGGTCATTCAAAGTGACCTGGTGACCTGACCTTAAAAGGTAGGAGGTTCAAACTTGCACACCATGTGTAAAATTGATGAGGTTATAGTCATACCAAATTTCGCGGCGCTACGCGCCGCGGTTTTCCCGCTATTCGCGAAAAACCTCAGGGAGGGGGGGGCGGATATCCGCCCCCCCGTCGGTGCGCGGGTTAAACTTGCTTAATGCCTACCTCGACCACAATAATCTGTTTTGTTTTAACTCCACTACAATTTCTTATGAAAAAGACTTAAACAATATGGTGATGAAATTGACCAATAACATGGCAGTGAGCTGCATTTTTATATAACAAAATAAGGCCGAAAATAAGGCCGAATTATTGGTCAATTTCATCACCATATTTAATTATTTGATCATGGCAAAACCGACCATTCAATACATCAAGACTTAAAAAAGACAACTTTTTGGAACAATGTAAAACCTGCTTTGTCACATACCATCAGCCAGTGCGCACTGGCGCATTTTAGGCATTTGTTATAGGTCTAGATCTAATAAATATGGCGGTACACTTACCTATATCAGCCAATAAGTTGGAAAGAGTACCTACCTAAATGCTGTTTTTAGTTACCGAGTCAATTCATGCAGCTCTATTTCACAGCTAAAAACATGTATGTACATAACCAATTTATTAGAGTGAAGCAATAAATGATACCGCAATAAGAGAAATTGGGAAACTGGTCTCTCATAAAATCAACGCACCAAATGGACAAATACTAATACTTTGATTCATAATCTGAAAGTCAGCTTAGTGTCCGAACCAAATGGGCAATATCCATCATATGTAGTTCATGCCCCATTTAGCACCTTATGAATCTCCGACAGATGACGTAGGCAGCGCGTGTCTACAGTTTATTTCCTCCGGAAACCCAGCCGATCGGCAAGTTTTCACATTACTCGGGGAAACATGGCGCCATTCCGGTGCCATTCATGTAATTGCATGAGCGTCGGCTCCGGCGATGAAGCTCTCGTCGTACGCGGCAAAAACGGTCGACGTCTGCCTGCCGGCTGATGAGACGGACGACCCTGTAGGCTGCACCCACAGCCGGGAGGCGGCTGTCGCCGCGGCCGGGCCGGAGGACACGTCAGGAGCCGCCGTAAGCGCCCGATCGATCTCCGCCGTCATTATGGCTTTCGAAGGCGTCTGGGTTTCAAACAATGATTTAACGATGCCAATATCGCTCCATGGCCCGGCCGCCACTGCGACAGGCTTTTAAGTTTGAGAGACGCCGCACGGCGACATTCTGTTGCTGCAAATTGTATTTCATGGTGCGCCCAAACAAGTTTTGTTAGGTTAGCACGTTGTGCTTTTTTGTTGAGGGATACCACGCTGCTGTACAAAATACAAACGATAAGAACCGCCATTTTCTGGTAAGGCAGCTACATTATGTAGGTCGGTATTTTCAAACGCCAACTTCAACGAACTGCACCACTCGAACTTTCTCTTTGGCCAGCTCACAGGTATTTAAAATTTGCGCCGAGTTGTGTGAACTAGTCAATTGGTCGTTTTTCTTTAACCATGGGCTTGGCGGACTGGACGGATGATCTGCTTGTCTTGGTGACCAAATTTCATACCCCAGAAGAAAACGGAAACGATTTCTGCTCAACCTTTTACATAATTGAAGTATTGTCTGCCTCAATTTGCATATTGAGACGCAATTTGCAAATTGTATTTAATTATGTCAACTCCAAACTTTCCGGCGCGTGTATTACATGCAATTGCCGAGCGGTTAGGACCATACGCAACAACCCCTGCATATCCAAAGTTCCAAGGCTAGAAATCCTACAATACAAAACATTCTAACTAAAATATCTTTTGTGCTACTTATTTCAATGTTCGAAGAGGGCTAATGTTTAGCGTCAAAGCCGCAGTCATGAGGCCTGAGGGCATGTGGCGCCGGATGGTGAGCTGCATCGTCTGGTTCACAGTGGAGTAATATGTGTCACCATTCGTTTATCCAGAACCACCGACAAAGGAGTTTATGAGGCGTTTTGTCTGGCGGCACGTAGCACATGGCACGTGGTGTCGATCGACCCTGCAGAACCGACACCACAGTCTTTAAAGGCAAAGTCTCTCCATTGATGACGATTTTGAGCGGTGCTGTTTTGTTTTCAAGTGTTGCAAAGGAGGCAGTTTCGCAAGCGTCGTAATTTACACTTGACCATAACCATGGGCACTTAAATATAACCAATACATGAGATCTATGCGGGTAGATGGAGGCACGCATGCGTCCTTGTTCAAAAATGTCGGAGCAGGAACACTCATCAATCACGAATTTCGGTAAGTTGTTAGGATAAAACTCGTCCATATTCACCAAACTATTAGATCCTGGAAAAAGGAGCAAAACGATAATGCCTATAAATGTATACAAAATCGACCTATTAACTATATACAATGCCATCACGTGCAGGGTGTCCCAAAAATAATGTTACACCTTTCCAGCGTCAATTTCATGAAAATAACAAACATGAGAGGCGCGCTTTTCTTACATATGCATTCCACCTTCTCCCTGATGCGGGCAAGCATACGGTCCGGGACACCAGACATCAACATGTCTAGCCATGTGGACTGATCTTGGACCAGACAGATCGAACGTTCCTGGTCAGCGTGCGTTCAGGTTATCCTGGCGCCGTTTTGTTCACCTCGGCTCTTACAGGACGATCGCCCAAAGATTTTGTATCGGCGACAGGTCGGGGCTATTCACCGGCCATTTGTCCTTCTCCCAGAATGCTGGGAAGCTCGATCTGTACCAGTCCTTCGTCGTTCTAGCTCGATGAGCCGGGGCGCCGATTTGTTGAAAGATGGCCCTGGACATGTTCAGCAGAGGGTTTCGGCTGGAAACGTGGCTTGTTGGGCTTCAGCTTAGAGGCATCCTCCGGTACCGATGGGTTATCAATTTGAAGACTGGATGGCTGTTGGCAATCAACCTCCTTGCCAATTTCCTTGTGGATAAGCCCGTCTTTAGCTCCGCACTTCGCGATGACGATCTGCGCTATCGGCTGGCGGAAGTCTTCCTGCCGCGACCTAGCTTGTTCCCAGGCGTCTATCCGCTTCTGTCGCGTGATAACCAGCGCCAAATCGTGCGACAACTCATGCCCAGTACCTCGGCGACCTGGCCGTGGGTTATGCCACCGGCAACCATGCCGACTGCTCCGTTGCGGGACGATTTGCTCTGCAGTTTCGCCATCCTCGACACCTGGTCCGCGCGCGCTGGGTACTGCCCCGGAAATGACCTCCGTACACCCCTTGACCGGTCCAGGGGACACAAAAATTTGAAAGTCACGTGACTAGAATGTAGCCAGTATGGTCTGGGAGCCAGTACCGGTGAAATTATATTGATATTGCGCAGTAGAAGGCAAAACAAAGGTTGTGGGAGGGTGTGACATTAATTTTGGGACACCCTGTACAAAATGTTAATCTGAGATGGGACGGATACCTATCTTAGACCTCAATCATCCTTGTTGGCCAAACCAGACTGCAGGGCCGTGCAGCAGCCGGTGCCAGCCGCGCTGCAGGTCCCGCGGTCGGCAGAACTCGTCGGCTCTGCCCTCGGGCGCTCGGTCCGCCGGCGGTCGGCCGTTCTGCCGACGGTCGCCCGCGCCGCGGTCCTTGCCTCGGCGTCCGGACAGTGGCGCGCGCCGAGTCGTCGCCGGCGCGTCGGCGGGCCGGTCGGCGTCGGTCGGCACTCGGCGGGCGGCGTCCGCGGCGGCGGGTGCGGCGCCCACACCATGGCGACCGTGAACGTCACCCCGCTGACGGAGGTGGGTGAGGCCAACAGCACCAACGGCACGCTGCTGCTCTACCCCTGGGGCGAGTCGCTCTACCCGTCCGGCTACTCCACGCTGCGCATCGTGCTCACCTCGGTCGTTGTGACGCTCATCATGATCGTGGTCGTGGTGGGCAACATGCTGGTCATCATCGCCATCGCCACCGAGAAGGCACTAAAAGGCATACAGAACTGGTTCATCGCGTCACTGGCAGTGGCCGATTTCATGGTGGGACTGATCATCATGCCGTTCTCGCTGGCCCAGGAGCTGATGGGCTACTGGCTGTTTGGCGAACTGTGGTGCAGCCTGCACGCCGCCATTGACGTGCTCGCCTGCACTAGCTCCATCAACAACATCTGCCTCATCAGCCTGGACCGCTACTGGTCCATCACACAGGCCGTCGACTACCTCAAGAGCCGCACGCCGCGCCGGGCCATCTTCATGATCGCCTTCGTCTGGCTCTTCAGCGCGCTCATCTGCTTCCCACCGCTGCTCGGCTGGAGGAAGAAGCGCGTCCAGAGCGACTTCCCAAAGTGCGAGGTGAGTGCCGCGGCGCTGTGTCCGCCTCCTCCTCCCCCCCCCCGACACGTGCGGCACGCTCACGGACCAGTAGTCTCGGGCGCCGGGCGGCTCCCGGGGATCACCTGCGCCGCCGTGGGATCAGCTCAGCGGCGCAGTGCCGCTCGGACCGCGCCCTGGACGTCACGGGGCTCTGAGCCGGCCACGGACGTGACGGCTTACCGGCCTCTGTGCGGGCTTAGCGGCGAGACGTGCCGACACAGGTGCCGTACCGTTACCAGCGGGACATGGCCGGGTGGACCGCGACATGGGCACTGCACGGGCACGGGCGGTCATGGTGCACTGAAAACTTTTTTACCATTTCCTGAAGGGTAAACCCGCCATAGCATGGTAGCTTGACACACAGACGTTTTTTACCACCTTCCAGATGGTAAATTTTACTCTTTAATGAAGAGTAAACTCGCCAGGGAGGGGTAACATGACACACAGACGTTTTTTACCATCTTCTGAATGGTAAACTCTTTTGATTTACTCTTGTCTAGAGTGTAACATTTTTTTGGGTTACACTCTTTGAAAGGGTAAATCTTTAACGGAACCCTTTTCTAGGGAGTAACGCATCATCTATTCTGTGCTTTACCCTCCTACAGAGAGTATATTCTTCTGGCCTACCCTTTGTCACATGGTAATGTTTACTCTTTCCTTTAGTGTAAACCCCCCAGAGGATGGTAACAGACTCACAGACGCTTCCTTCAGAAGCTTCACGAAGCTTCTGTTAACCGGAGCTCACCAACTAAAAAAATGCTTCAAGAGCAACAATGTATATTTGGCTTCCGTACAAACAATACGAGGGGCACACCAGCCATGAACATTGTGAGACTCTTCACTTATTCATACGAATTTAACAAAGCGTTCATCAATGCACAAGCGATAAATAAACACCACGATACAACTTGAATGCAATTTGAATATGAATACCTACAAGACATTCAGCGCCCTCATATTGGATAAGGCACAGCGCACATTATTTGAAGTGAGCGACGGCGTTCCTGGGTGGTCGCCCGTCTGCGTGAGATAATGAGACTGGATCACTACAGTACAAGTCTTTTTTCAAAGTCACCAACAAAATGCATAAACTTGTAGCATCACAACAAAATTAATGTACGTACTCACAACACTAGGCCACGTGGCCGTGCACGGCCGCACGGGGTCCTGTTAACCAGGTCAAATTAGCACCACTCAACGGCACGCAATGCTCTAGCACATCGGTACTTACAATAAAATGTCCATAGAGGCTCTATAGGCGATGAACAGCACACAAGCACAATCACCAACGGCCACGCCGCGCGGCACCGACACTGCTCACATCCGCTCTCGGAGACCAACGGCCGAAAACTGACAGATGCGCGCGGCCTTCAAACCGCAAACGGCCGATCTCGTTTCTGATTGGCTGATTGGTTCCATTTCAAATATCATCTTCACGAGGGTAAACAAGATCCACGCATGAAACGACTATCTGTACACGAGTCACGATACCCAGAAGGAAAGAGTTTTCATGATGTTCTGGATCGCGAGAGTAATATTGATATTTACATGGTAATTATACTCTTCGCTGGCGAATAAGTTCATATTAACCACGTACCGTTACTATGCACATAATGGTAGCAGCGAGTTACCCTTTCAATATACTCTTATCTTGGGGGTTTGATGAAAATGAACCCTCCAGGAGGTCGTAAAAAAGTTTTGAGTGTGGTCCACACAGGAAGGAACGGGTGGTCACTGGGGGTCCACACAGGAAGGAACGGGTGGTCACTGGGGGTCCACACAGGAAGGAACGGGTGGTCACTGGGGGTCCGCACAGGAAGGAACGGGTGGTCACTGGGGGTCCGCACAGCCGCTACTTCTGAGTGGCCGCTACTTCCAGCCACTTTTCGCTGGCTGGAATGGATTACAGTATTCCACGGATCCGTATCACTTGTAAATGCGATTAATTTTCAGAGCATGATTTTCAATTTATACGCAGTCTTATTCAATTGACTGTAGTCAATCTCAACAGCGACTGATTCACAACAAAGTAGGTACCACCTATTAAAAAAATTTTTGTCCCCTTAACCGCGAGCATAGGTATTTGCAAAAACGAATGACTATTGTAAGCATAGTTTATAACAGTGTAATCGACAATTTCATGTTTTATCATTCGACTATGTCATTGATCAAATCAATCATTTCACAGATCTAACATTATCAAAATCAATAAACTATGTTTCTCTGTTTATTTTTATTTCGACATTAGTGACTCAACATCCACACACAAATTCAGTTCCATTTCGATTCAAATAAATGACATTTGCCTAGACCAGAGAGGTCCTGCGATGCGACTGCATCAAAGTTAGTGTGCCACCTTCCAATGATTTCCCATTTTATTTTTCCTAGGATAAGAAGCTTCTGTTTTTACCTAATATCGCAAAAAATCAAAAATGGGCCTAAAATAGTGCTTTTTTCGCCTAAAAGTTTATCGGTTTTTCGATATGTATAACAACTGTAGTGGGCTGACCTGCAAACAGGCGTCGGCAACAATCGCGAATGCGGCGCACATGTGACAATAAGCAAAGGTCATTATAGAGTTACGACGTACGGGAATGAGTTATCAGCTGTCTAATCGTAGACAACACAATGTCAAATTTAAACTGTAAGCCTGCATTGGTATTGTTTCTTTAATTTGGCTGTCGAAATTCATTTATGGTTTGAAATATTATTTTATGTAAAATAATTGATATGAAACAGCCGTCTCTAAAGTTATGACCCCATCTCACCACATGAAAGTGGCAGAAATGACAATGATCAGCTGACGCATTTTTATTGGCCGAAGTCAGAGCGCGCGGCCCGACGCACCACCACCGCACCACAAAGTATGAGCAAAAGCCACCTGCGGTAGACCGCGCCCAAAGCCAGGGCCCCGGTAACGTGAGGTAGCCGAGTCGGGGCAGCGTGCGCTGTCCCAAGCCGGGGCCGCGGCTTTGGGCGCGGTCTAGCCCCGGGCTATCACATGACACCGGGAGGACGCGCGGCCCCGGCTTGGGTCAGCGCACGCTGCCCCGACTCGGCTACCTCACGTTACCGGGGCCCTGGCTTTGGGCGCGGTCTACCGCACCACCTAACAGGCGTGTTCGAAACCGCAGGAGATGATGATGAACGGGATTATCGAAACTTGATTGGATGAGCCTATCGGTAATAGCGATTTCAGTGTGTGCATTTATTGTTCATAGTGGTGTGAAATGTGGTTGGGGTACGACCGACAACCCGTCGGGGCGAATTTCGCACTGGGGTACTCAAAATTTGAAGAATTTAAGACGTTTCCATGAGTTTTAAAGGTATGGATAAGTTCTAAAAATCCGGTTCTCCTTATCTGGGCCATTAACTCCATACGGTCCAGGGAAGCTGGCACACTACCTTTAACGAAACCACAAATGCATTTTCCATAGCTTTCATCATTATTCTGGATTGAAAATAATCTTTGACGTCTTGGGTCCCGCAATTTCAGCTTCAGACACAACATATCACGGTAATACGCTGACAGATACCAGATCATTTGTATTAGAGTATTTTTATCTCCTGCGTAGTAAGTCACCTGGGGTATGTGATTCTTTTTCATTTTTATTCAAACCAATATAACAAAATGATGTCTGTTGATCAGAGGTACCCAATTTCTCTGACAGCGCCGTACCATGTAGATTGACGCATAGTGAGCACTGGTGCGCCATATCCGCGGGATTGACATCAAATGGACACCGGGGTAGCCCAGACTCTTCTTGAAGCATGACCGGGCGGCTGATGGGCGCATGATGTCCACCTAAATAAATATCATTTTCGACCATACAGTACAAGCCAAAGACAGTCCGATGGCGGGGAATCTCGTTTGCGTCATCTTGCGAAATGTCGTGCAACAAGTGCAGCTCCCGCTGTAACACCGAAACAGCATAAATTACGATTGAAAGGAAGATCTTTCACAAACTGATGTTAAGCACAAACTTCAGCTAACAATAACAAATTGCTTGCAATAGTTTTTAACCATTATCCACCCTTCCATTTACTGCAACTATATTATTTCAGTCATCCGCAACACGGCGAGAAATAATCGACGAATGAGTCAACGGATAGACGTATAAGGTATAGAATAATCATTACCGCTACCACTGTATATTTCAAATTAAAACGTCAACAGAAAGTCACGAAATACCTCGTTATATAGTACCATAAGCTGTTGTTCGAACGGATGTCACACATCCTAATCTCGCCTAACTTGCCGTTAGAGTCAGCTTCATAAATGCATACATACACTTCGATCAATACCATATTGGAAGGATTCCTCTAGAAGTTCAAATATACATAATCAGCTGCAGTGGGTGTAGACGTACTCGTATTGAAGGTCATCCGATTGTCGGGCCACTCCAGAAGTGGAATATGGGTAGAGTGTCGATTCCACCTGAGTCAGGTCAGTTTCACGTGAGTCGGTTATTGTAATTGAGTCTAAGTTTAGTGAGTGAGATTCCGATGGGCCCACCTGGACGCTGAAACGATGCAGGAGTTTCTGGAAGCTGTTCCGTCGGCCGGCTACAGTCTTAACTGGCGGCAGTTGGCTGCCGAGGATGCCGTTTGGCGCCCAGTTGAGGAGTTTTATCGAGTCAGCATGGTGTAAGCACCTGGGTGGGGGCTCGTCGCCCAGGTATTCCGTTTACCTCATGGGAAGTTGAACCGTTGGCGCTTCGGCTCTGAGATATATGGGGGACGAAACAGAGTAGTTACATATTTCAGTGAGTGGAACACTTCTCTCTAAGCGACAATATATCAACCTGCGTCTTCCCCTTTCATTGATTTTTCTTTTTGAAAATGTGCGATCACAATGCTCCACTGAGAGCGTCAAGCTAGCTCGACAAACAGGAACAATTTTTTAATTACAGCGTAACTCTTTTTAAAAGGACTGAGAGTTTTATCAAGAATACAGTAACATCTTATACGTACTACGC